TAGCGCTACAGCTGTAGCGCGACGCTGTAGCGCTACAAGTCTGAACGCTGCCTAACCGGTGACCTGGATGCCTAATGCCTATGTGAGCAGTGAGAGAAGGGCTCTAGAAGGGGCACATGCAGGCCTTGGAATAGGAGCAGGGATCTTTGAATTGCGTATGAATAACGTTACTGCCGTCCGAGCCAAAACTTGCGTGCAATTAACCCATTCAAAATCCATCTAGAGTATTTGGTCATCCCATTCAAAAATGTGGAGGCATACACTGCTCCACATAATGATAGCGCCACCAAAATTGCTGTCTTCTTTGCTGGATTTTCAGATATGATAGAATCGAACTATCCCTGAGCCTCATGCGTTATAATGTCTTCTTCAACAAAATTCAATGAGTACTCGAAACACAATATTTCATTGGTAAGCTTTCGCTGTGATAACAGCTTCTTCAGACCTCAAATAAATACAGCATATATAGTACTACAAATCTCTACAACAATAGAGCTGGTCTAAGTACTAACCAGACTGGAGCCTTTCTTAACAATGAAGTTGCTAAGGTCTGCAATACAGTACTCTCAAGCCTACAACTGACAACAACTGCACTAAATACTAATGACCCACCCGAGCGACACCACGAATGCAACTAAAAGTGACTAAGAATGCGACGCGCGTGACAATCGCAAGGACGTCCTTATCACGACCGCTATACAATCAGCCTCATTGCCTCCATCAGCTCATCCCTGTTGTTTATTTCGGGGATAACCGCTTGATAGCAATCGCTTCAAGTAACTTCCTTTCCAATGGGCTATCCTTCGAGCGGTGCAAAACCGTCACTTTCAGGCGGGGAGGTGCTTCATGTTGGTGAAACATCGTACGATGCCGCGAAAATCCACTCTGGGGGTAAGAGGAGGGATTCCGCAAAGCTCGTATGTGTTCATCCATCCTTTTGTGTAAAGGTCGCATTGTTTCACCAACATATCTCTGATTGCATCCTTCGCATGTGACCAAGTAAACTGTCCCACGTAACTGGCAGATTTTATTTTCTGTACAGTATAGACAGTTACTTCGGCCACATTTCTCTTCATAGATCCGCGATGATGTTAGCAAGCTTCTTAGATTTTCAGGTGGCCGGAATATCAGCTTGACTGGAAGGTGGGACGACTTGATGGTATGATTGACGTTCTTTGCTACTCTTTCGTTAACATATGGTAAAACCAATGGGATTCCTCCAGTAGCAAAGAAAGGTCGCCATGTTCTGGGTTCGTTCGTCGTGTATCCGTTCTCTTCCAAGATCCTTGCTATTTTCCGGTTCACCTCTTCTGATTCCCTAGTGCATGTCCGCGCCTTCGTAGCGATAAGATTTCTTATCACGTTAGCCTTCATATAGAGTGGATGCGCACTTCGAGAATGCAGAAGGATATTCTTTGACATCGGTTTCTTGTACCATTCAATCTCCTTAGTGCCATGGTTTATTCGGACCTTCGTGTTGAGGAATGGAAGGTAAGCCGCGTTCGTCTGGATGTTCCACCGTGAAACGTATGTTCGGGTCGCATGAGTTCAAGTTTTGAAGCATCGTGCTCATGACATCGGCGGTAGAACAAACGACGAAGACATCGTCTATGTAGCGCTTGTAGAATATAATTCCAGTGATCAGAGATCTCCTTTCAATCCTATCCAAATAGACGATGGCTAGTAGCGGCGAAATCCTCAATCCCATGGCAAGGCCTCGTTTCTGTGAATAGAACATGCTATCAAACTGGAAGATGTTACATTTCAAGGTTGCTAATAGAAGCTCGCGCAAATCTTCCTCCATCAATCCGAATGTATGTACTTCTTCATGATGTCTTCTTAGCAGTTCCATCACAGAATTTATAGCTTCATTACAGTCCACGTTGGTATACAAAGAAACCGCGTCGAAGCTCGCGTACGAAGCATCATCGGGTATCTCACATCGATCCAGAGCTGATATGAATTCTCCTGCGTTGACTAAATGAGCCGCAACATGTTGCAAAAGCGGCGACAGGAGTTTCGTGAGGAACCAGCTCACTCTATCCGAAGGGCCTCCACATGACGATATGAATTGGTCTGACTTTGATTGAGTTCTCTTCGATGCGACGTAAGTCAACTTCTTCCGGGAACTTGTGCGTCTTGACCAATGCGTAATACGTTGGCACCATCGGATATGTGAGAAGAAAACGTCTGGTTGTTTTCCTATCCATAATCTTGCTTAGGATCCGTGTTGTTGTGCGTCCGGAGTTCATCAGAGACTTTTTCGAATTCTCGAAATGATGACATTTGGTACGTCGTGCTATCCGAGAGAGACTGCCGACCTAGACTTTTATCCATTGTTTGTGTGAGGACAACAAAGTCTCCACTCTTGTCACTCACACTATATCGAAGGTCGTTTTCAAAAGCTGGAGCTTTTTGAGACCACGCCTCTCTTGCACAGTCGTCCCACCTTCCAGTCAAGCTGATATTCCGTCCACCTGAAAATCTAAGAAGCTTGTTGACATCATCGAGGATCTATGAAGAGAAATGTGGCCGAAGTAACTGTCTATACTGTACAGAAAATAAAATCTGCCAGTTACGTGGGACAGTTTACTTGGTCACATGCGAAGGATGCAATCAGAGATATGTTGGTGAAACAATGCGACCTTTACACAAAAGGATGGATGAACACATACGAGCTTTGCGGAATCCCTCCTCTTACCCCCAGAGTGGATTTTCGCGGCATCGTACGATGTTTCACCAACATGAAGCACCTCCCCGCCTGAAAGTGACGGTTTTGCACCGCTCGAAGGATAGCCCATTGGAAAGGAAGTTACTTGAAGCGATTGCTATCAAGCGGTTATCCCCCGAAATAAACAACAGGGATGAGCTGATGGAGGCAATGAGGCTGATTGCATAGCGGTCGTGATAAGGATGTCCTCGCAATTGTCACGCGCGTCGCATTCTTAGTCACTTTTAGTTGCATTGGTGGTGTCGCTCGGGTGGGTCGTTAGTATTTAGTGCAGTTGTTGTCAGTTGTAGGCATTGAAAGTATTGTATTACAGACCTTAGCAACTTCATTGTTAAGAAGGCTCCAGTCTGGTTAGTACTTAGACAGCTCTATTGTTGTAGAGATTTGTAGTACTATATATGCTGTATTTTATTTGAGGTCTGAAGAAGCTGTTACCACAGCGAAAGCTTACCAATGAAAATTGTGTTTCGAGTACTCATTGAATTTTGTTGAAGAAGACATGATAGCGCCACCATAGATATTACAAAATCCCGTCTTACGTGAGGTTTTCAAAAATGTCCTCAAAGAAAATGAGGTAATAATCAATACCAGTTTGCATGTCAACACCGGAAACTAACTTGAAAAAACAAGTTTTTGGTTCATTTTTTTGAAAATTGGAACTCTTACAATTCCACAAAATGATAGCTCCACCTCATGTTTTGTCGCTGCGTCTTTTTTTGTTGAGTAAAACTGTCTCATCATTGTGACTTTGCCTTTTCTAGGCTATGGCAAGAGGACATTCATTATCGGATTTTGAAAAAAGGACAGATAATCGCAAAGAAGACTCAAGGACTGTCGAACCGTCAAATCGCACGGGATTTGGGCCGCAGTCATCATGTGGTCAACAATTTTGTCAAGCAACCTGCAGGATATGGAGTTAAGAAGAGCTCTGGGCGTCCTCCTTTGCTCTCAAATCAGGATAAGCGCCGTATCTTGAGAGAAGCATCTAATTCCCAATACCGTGCCTTTAAATAAAGTCAACGTTGAGGCTTAATGTCTCGGAGGAGACTGTTCGGAGTATCTTGAAAAACTCCTGAGTTCACCTACAGGAGGAATATGAGCCAGGCACTGTTTCTAACAAAAAACTATCGCGAAAACCTAATTGGCTTTGCTGGAAGATGTTGCCGAACCGATTGGAGTAAGGTTAGTTTTTGGCTGAGCGTGATTCACTCGTCACCAAACCGCCTTTTCGCCCTAGCCAGCCACTAGCCGCGACTTAAACAGTCGAGAATGTGTGAGGCTTCATGGTGCGCAAGATCTATGCGAACAATGCGCGATTCCACGATGTCCGTGAGCTTAAGAAGTCAATCATTGATGCATGGCAGCATGTCGAGTGAAAACTCATTTGAAACCTCTATTCGAGCACAGACAACCGCATTTTCCAGCTTATTCGAAGAAATGGAGTTCCAGTAGATTACTGAATCCACAATTTATTCATTTTGTTGTGCACTTGTTGCTGTATAATCGATTTGTTTGGTGGAGCTATCATTTTGTGGAATTGTCAGAGTACCAATTTTCAAAAAAATGAACAAAAAAAACTTGTTCTTTCAAGTTAGTTTCCGGTGTTGACATGCAAACTGGTATTGATTACCTCATTTTCTATTTGAGGACATTTTTGAAAACCTCATGTAAGACGGGATTTTGTAATATTTATGGGTGGAGCTATCATTATGTGGAGCAGTGTATAGAGGAAAGGCAGGAAAGCAAAGAGATAGAGCAGCGGGTTTCCATGACGTTTAGACTATTACCTTTAGAGTTTGAGAAGAAGCCCGAGCAGTCAAAATTTGCGCCGGATCGTCACATCAGCCGTCATCACGTCCATCCCGACGCAGCACACTGCATGCATAGTTTTAGGAGGAAATGGCCTGCAAAATCGGCAAGGAAAACGCTCTCCCCTCGATTAGTTGAAGGCGGATATTGCTTGAACAATTAAAAGATTGAACGTCATAAATTCGAACGCTGAAGGATGTTTCAAATTTTTGGCACTATTCAACTGTTACTACCCCATTTTTGCGAAAACAGGGCGGATCTCAATCGACTTTCTTCTACGGGGGCGGATTTGGCTGAGATTCGGGTTTAGGGTAATTCGACCTCCTGAAACGAATATCACATCCCACTTGGGCTGAAAGTGCATGGGGGTAGTAATAGTCGAATAGTGCCAAATTCTTCAATGCAGAAGCGAAGATCCTGAAGAGTGGACTCTCGAATCATGTAATCCAACGTGTTCCAGTTTGCCTTCAAAACAGGCAGCTCCTTCTGTACAACCGCCAGTCACAAAGAGGGATTTGGTTTCGCGATTCGCTATGTAATACCGGTGCTCTTCAACAAAACTTCAAGACTGGTGAATCAAAAGACGTCTCTTTGAGAATCCACATCCTCATCTCCACATGTATGGAGGACTGCAATATGATAAAGACGTAACAGATATTGGTTTTGGCATGTTCGTTTGTCTTCTTCGAACTGCCTACAGAGCAAATGAAAATCCATTTACGAATGGATATCTCACAACGATCACAACAGTGGATGGTTCAACTCCGGAGCCACCTGCAACTGGAATGGATTTCTCGCAGATGTATTACGAGCTCCCTTTCATGGTATTACTCGAAATTAGCTATATGAAAGAACCTGGACACGAACAAAAACTGATGTAAGACTTCATGTAAAAATCATCAGCTTTGACTGGAAAACTATCCAATTGTTTCAGTTCTTACCAACCCTCTAAGTGTGCGGAGACGGCGAAATGGTGGGCTTCCGAAGGTTATTACAAGCTCGACACAGAAACGGAAGAATGGACTCCTGTATACTACTATCCAATTAATACTGATTTTTACTATTGAATAAAGGATGTTTCTGATAAATAGTAGTGTACCAAAGTCCACACAGTAAGAGAATTGTAGTAAAAAATCAAAAAGGTTTGACGAAACTACCCTCCTTCGCTGGCGTGCCACGGAGAATGGGGATTGGATCAGCGCGCGGCAGGCTCTTTTTGTTCTTCCTTCTTTTTAGCAAGCGACAAAACTGTATCATACTTCCGTATTGTAGTAGTTTTCGACCAGTTGTTGTTGCCTACCCGCTTAAAAATCTGGTGGAGAACGGGTTGACGCCGCGGCAAACCCAGTCTCACTAACACCCCCTTTCCTGCAGCAGACAAGAAGATGAAAACGAAGGCAAAACCCTAGAGCGTATGTGACCAGTAAGGGTTAGCGCCAAATGGGTTGGCTTCCCTCAAAAGCCGCTTCATGTCAAATTGAAGGGACATTAGTTGCAAATGTAAACGAACCAATCTGTTAGGGATACAGTCACAAGGAGTAAGAGGGGTTACATGCTTGACAGTGAAGTTGACATGAGAGCTCCAGCCTCGAAAACAGGCGCACTCACCGAGGGATGGACCCTGGCCGTGTGCGAAGGTAGACAAGCCTGAAGCTGTATAGTAGTAGCACATTTAATACTCGAAAAAGCACGCGAGTGAAGCTGGAGGGTTGAGTTAGCTGAGTGCCACCTCAAATCCCACCCCCTATTCACAACGTGCAGCATGTGCGTCGATGCCGCATGTTGTGAGTAGGGGATAATCCTGCAGCGAAAGGCATGAACCACAAGCTGCATTACAGGTGACTGTATAGAAAAAGCAAACGTGAGAGAACGCAGACGAACAGCGCGTTCGGCTAGTTACTTTCATGCGTGATTGTGGTTACGTGGCAATTTTGCCTGTGTGTAGTCTCAAGCGGTATCTGACTCTCACCACCTCCAGAATCAGTTGTGCCCGCTTTCGAATGACAAAAGTGGTACGTTTGTACTGCTGCGGATCTGCTCACCTCGCACATGGCAAGGATCAGTATCCTCGAAGGAGAGCGCGCAACGATTCTTCGAACAATGAAGGATGGTGTTTGGCTTAAAGGGCACTTTAGTAGTCTAATAGTTTCTTTTACTTGCTTCTGTTGATAAGGTACCTATACCGTCGATAAAGTGAGCCACTCCAGAAAGCATTATCGTAGAAGTGGCTTTGTTAACTATGCGCTTGTTTCAGAATAGGTACCCAGGGAAAGCAGAGGCGGGGTAGCCGAAAGGCGAAGAAGACCAAAGGGTGGTCCTACGGAGTAGGACCACCCTTTGGTCTTCTACACCTGTAGCTATCTAATTACGGCTCCTCCAGAGTGGGTGAGATAAGGAATGGTTTGCAGTACTCAGAAGCGCGGATGTCGGGAGAATGACAACATTCCCACCCTTGCACAATATAACCCATAGCCCAAGCGTGATCGGCATGATATACAGTTCGGTCCTCTTCGGACGATGGGGCGTTCCTGCGTCCACGCTGGTGAGCGGCTGCGTGTGGGGGAATGCTTGCCTCAGACTCTCTGACATGGAGCGCTGGTACACACGCCGGCGCGCTATCTACTCACTCCTGTGTCTGAACTCTCGCTTGATCAATAATCTATGACGCGCCCAATCAACAGATTTCTGCTGTATTCAGCTTCTAAAATCCAAGATTATTTTTCGCCTTGCTTTAGCGAGAGGAGATGAGTACGTTCTACTGAAGCTTGCATTTCATTTTATCTTTGGAGACTGTTTTCCTCTCATCATTTTCCCTTTGAGTTCTTTCTGAACCTCTTTCTTCAGTTTTGATGCAATTGTCTAAATCATGCAGAAAGACCTGGTTCCAGTGAAACACGCCTAGCTTTTGCTTCTGAAGCCGAACGAAGAATAACCTGTACGGTTAGAGGTCCAATGCAGCAGAAAACAGCTGACCGAGCGCGTGATCCATTATTAGTCGGCGAGAGTCCAGACGGATGAGCGGGTAGACAGCACTATGGTGTGTGTACCAGCACAGAGTCGATATCAGAGAGCGCAGAGGCAGTGATGATAATCGTCCCAGACTTCCGCCATTCCACAGACAGGTATCCGTCGGACCGCTCGCCATCGTGGACGTAGGAACGCCCTTCGTATATTTTGCATTATCTGCTAGTGACGATGAAAAGACTCGCATAACGAAAAACGTAATCGCACTTTATTTCCATATAAAGGCTGTTAAAAAAAGCAACGATATATCGTACATGCACATGCTTAGTGATAATGCTAGATTAGTGATGATAAAAGTTCTAATTCAAGGGGTAACATGATAGCCAGGAGTTGTTAATACAGGAAACTTCAATAATAAAATGCTGCAAAGTTAATGCATGCAAAAAATTAGCGATCTCCGCTTGAACTGATCCAAGTCGAGAAAAGGTAACAAAGTGAGTTGGAGTGCTCATTGGAAAGATTCATCTCAACATGCTTTCATGTGTTGTTACATGCCTGAAAAAAAGAAAAAAAATTCGATGAGCACATAAAAGCATGAGCTCAGAGGAGATCTCAGCAGTTAATCGGTCCCTTCTAAGTACGGCACACATTCCACTTCCACTCGGAATAGTAGCGGCCTGTACAGCTACTTCCGGGAAGGCCACTGATGTGGAAGTCAGATTTCTTATCCTTTCGAAAAGAATTTTTTAAGATCTAAGGTGAGTTCTTGTGTTTCGGATTTACGATACCTTCCTAGATGCGCTGATCTATTTCTAAGTTTAAAAGGCACTGATCTTCAAGTTCCAGGCTCTGACGAAGGCGACTAGCCGAAACGTAGATTTAACGCCTTGGCTGTGGCTTCAAGAAATCATTGAAGACAAGGACGCACACCAAGGTTCATGGACAGTCGAACTTGGAGTATCATGAGAATTTGGTAACATTTACAAAAGGCGGAGGGTAGCGAGCTTGGCTGGGGGCCTAAGAGGAAGGAAGAAGGTCGCTTCCAATTTCTCCATTTTTTTTTACCCTTTTTGGAACTATTAATTATATTAATTACCCCAATTTTCCGAAACAGACCGGATTCTTGATCGACTTTTTTCTACGGGGGTGGATTTGGCTGAAAGTTGGGTTCTAGGGGTAATTCGACCTCCTGAACACGAATATCACATCCACTTGGCCTGAAACTGCCTGGCGCGCCACAGGTGCCAGCGCCAAAAGGCACTAGGTCACCAAATCCGATGAAAACCTGTCGGGAAGTTTAACTTCCTGAATGCGAGTATCACATCCGCTTAACCCGCAACGGCCTTGCGCCCGTGCCACAAGCGCCGGCGCCATGATATCCTGGACTACCAAATCCCCTGAAACTTGTATACGGAGGTTATTTGACATTTGTTTGCAAATATCACACTCATTTTTGGCGCTGGCGCGGATGGAAGACATTGCGATCATTTGCGCTATTAAGGCTTAGCCTCACCTAAAGGAATCACTCCTTCTCCCAGGCTCAGCCTTAGAAGAGCGCTAAACTGCGCTGGTGTCGAAAAATAAATGTCGTGATCGCGGCTTCAAACAACCCTATTATGCACGTTTTTATCGATTTTGATGAAAAAGGTTGTGGCACCAAATCAGCGCCAGTAGCTAATTAAGATGAATTTTGGAATTTTGTAATGAATTTGTAATGATTCAGTAATTTTAATGATTTTAAAATCAACTAGAGTACTGCTTAACTTGGAAATGTCGCAGACAAACAAGTCAAACCAAACAGCCAGTGTTTTATTCTCCCAGAGAAGTCTGAAGCCAAATAATTGACTTCGGAATGTTTGAAGCCTGGGTTGGTCTTCGGAGACGATCTCAGATGTAACAGCCTATCCTCTGTCCTATAAGACGCCCAGTTCACCTGCTAGACCACCTTCGCCCTTTCTGTTATTGGCAGAAATACGAAATGTCAATTGTTTCGGTGGCGAAATAAACAGTAGATAAAATTACAAAAGGTAAAAATGTTCATGCAAACCTTTTGGAATTCAGAGATTTGCTGCGGCATGTATGAAAGGCTCATTCTGAGGACTTCAGCTTGGGAACTGCTTAATACGCCAATAGCAGCCCTTATCCGATGGCAAAGTCTGACGTAAATTGAAGATTAGAGTGGCAGAATGTAGAAATGTGCTTATTTGCCACCTGTGAAGTGCATCTATCGGCGAATGTATGTGAAGTGCAAAAGTGCACCGCTCAGCTGTGGTCTTAACTTTGACCGTCAGTGGTATCCCACCAGCGTCTAACAACGTCCGCCAGCGCCAACTAGCGTCCAAAACGGCTGTGTTTTAGCGGATTTTGAACAAAACTGTCAGCGAAATCGTGGCTGTACGCCTGCGGTTGAAGTACGCCAAGTAAGAACGCATGAACTTAAGGGTCGCTTCAAAGATAAAAGTCCCAGATGGGACTCTCCATCTCAGACGGTTTAGACCTTCTTACCCCTCTCCCCCTCCCTCAGGGCTGGTAAATTCGTGTGCCAGAGTGAAAATACTGCCCTGTACGGTTGACCCATGCAAGTCACTGGATAAGTCAAACCAAGTATATTCAAAAGCCATTACAATTTTGAGTGGTAATATAGCGCATCCAAATTGACAGAAGCTTAATTTCTTATTCTTTTGTCCGTTAAGGGTCTCATTGATGATTGTGGATGTGGACCAATACCATCGTCGTTGTCGAACAAATTCGTCTGGGCTGGGTGTTCGGACAATGTGCGATACGGAAACTCTTTTGGAAGAAAGTTCATAGACGTCACGGATAAGGTTCACAGTGATGCCAGGTTAGATATACACCGATACTTTAATACTTATGGGCGCTTATAACCTAGGGGAGAATGATATGTGGCATGGCAATCGTAATACTATTCGTCGTGTTGGTGGGCGTGGCCTCGCTTGACGGACGAGTTGTCCTGCCTAGTCACTTGAATTTGTTTGTTGAAGGGACGGGACAGAAAAATAATTATTGCCTGTCATGGAGCGCTGCCTCCGTTTGAATTCATACACTAGTTCAACTGGCAAGCTGAAGGACGCCAGGGGCTCGCCGCGTATCGCCGCACGATATGTCGAGGGCGACGACCCGACAAATTACGATTGTCTTGTCCGCCTCCCCCTTAAAGGCAAAGCCCGCGACCACAGATTGTGGGTAACGGAACCCACATAGGAACGAAAAAGGGCTAGGTATCTGATTAGCGGAGAAAAGCAGCAGAAAAACAGCCGAAAATGCCCTAAATAGGATTCCATATCGACCCCAACTTGTACATGCATGCAATGAAGAAAACGCATGTTTGTACGAATTTCCACTCGTCGTTATCATAAAGATATCAGCTCTTTTATCGTATCACCTCACTCTCACCATTCGGAATGGAGAGAGATAGCATAGTGGCTACTAGCTAGTAGCTAGCAGCCGGTGGGGGTCGGCATGGGCCTAAGGGGCGCCCATGGGCCTAATTGGTTAGCTTAAAGCGGAATTCTTGCCGATTTTCACTTTCTAAAGGTAGCGCAGCCTCCGCAATCTCCTTCCGGATCGTCTGACACATTTGAAAGGTCATAGCCTTATTTTATCGCGGAAAGTGCCTTTAAGGGTGGCTACATCTGTATGCTATCTATTTTCTTTTGTCCTTTCCTAATCTCATCTCACCCTACAAGTACTGGAAATTCGTGCCAGGAACCCTGTGAAATCCTGTAAACGTTGCGAAGTGGTAGCGTCATAGGAACGCCATTTTTTTTTTGAAACCTAAAATAGTCTTTTGACGAGTTTGACAGGAGTTTACAGGGGCCATGACAGGATTATAATAGAGGCTTACAGGGTTCTGTCGAGGTTGTCCGGTATTCACATATATGCAGTACAGAGGGGTACGCTGACAATCTATCATAGGTGTACCCCCCCATGGTTATTGGGGCTTTATTATATTTCATAACTACAATATATTCATTCATTTTTTAATACTGTATCCTCATCATTTTACACTGTATCTTCATCTACAGGGCTCTGATGAATCTGCACAATAATCGAGTAGGACGCCGTCTTCTTGCCAGCCGAATGGGAAAAGAGTGTAAATGTCATGGCGTAAGTGGCAGCTGTGTGACGAAGACTTGCTGGAAAGTGGTGCCAGCGTGGGTACGATTTGTGTTTTCTCAAAAATAAGGGCTGGAACTTGACCAGAGCGTTTTTTAAAGACTGACGTATTAGATGGCGTAAACGACGTCTGGCAGTCACCTGCTAAAAAGCACTTGTGAAGGCCGTTTCGATTCATGGAAATCGCGCACCACTCTATTGCATGATGTAGGAGACTTGTGTGGTTCACCACACCCCCTCATCTCACGGCTGCCCTTATTATCATCCTTCAACGCAGTAGTCGAAGTATTGAACTTCCCTTGGACAAACGTAAAGTACTCCCAATCTCACCCAGTATGCTTAAGTCTTATCTTAAGCGCATACTTAATTGACGATGTAGCTGTTTCCCCGCGCTCGTTCTAGACCCAATTCAATCTATTTATTTTTTATTAGGTTGTTCGAAAAGTCCTGCGACACTTTGTTTGAACTATTCTAGAAAAAGACCAAAAATCATTTTGAATGTTTTTATCTCTGATTAGTGGAGACTGTCTCCTGGGGTTTCTGAAAATGGGTATATCATGGCTCCGTGGAAGTTTTCAAAGCTTAAACCTCAGAGATCGAGGTACTTCTCGACCTATCCCATATTATGAGTTCCTGTAGGGCAACTCCGCCATAGTCGAGGAAGCTAACACTTACGTTGTCTTGAGGAAGGATATCGCTTGCCATAGCAGAGAGTTCCTTTTGCATCAGCGCTTCCAGGCTGGACTTATTCAACTCGGAAGTAGGCAATGTATAGGTCGGCCACCAGCACAGAATGACGGCCCTTTACTCAAGCTTCTTGAGGCGCAGCCGAACGTAACCACCAGTAAGTTGGCAACCTCTCTAGGCTCCACCTAACTGACAACTGCCATGCTTCTCCGCAGTCTCGGTTATCGGAAAATTTTTTATGAAGGATGCCTCATGAGTTGAACCCCTCTGACAAGTCATACCGAATGACCGTGACTGAGTTTTTTTCCTTGTACACACTGGAGGAGATCTTGTGGTTGGTAGAGAGTGGTGGGGTCCTTGCGTACATCTTGCACATGTTCCTCGCAGGATCTCTCAGAGAGAAAAGTAGATTGCACAGCCAAAAGCAGATGTGCATGGGATAAAGATTTCAGTAGGTTATTGGTGGGACTTCAAAGCGGTATCTCTGGATACTAGCATAACGGTAAGGACTACAGTCCACTCTAACCAACCTCACAACATGGATGACGTCACGCTTGAATTCTTCAAAAATACTCAATTTTTCTCTACCGCTCGGCAATGCGAAGACCGCATGTTAGGATCAGGCCACACCAAAAGATCGTGGATCTTGATCTGAGAATGCGACCATACCCAGCTTATTCATCAAAGTTAAGCACCTGCGTCCACGTCTCTTAACTACTACTTTTTTGATCCCTACCGCATCCTTAAGAAGGCAAAAATTCCGAAAATCGACGTCTACTCAAAAATGAGGTCCACCTCTTCTTCTTATCATAGTTGCCGTAGTTCTATAAGAATGGAAATGAGAAGCTGTGCAAAAGAAGGGCACTAGTCCTAGTCCTTAGTGGTGATTACCTTGTAGATTGGAGATGTCTTTTAGTGACTGAAAATTTAGTCCGAAAAATTGGTCAAAGTGTCGCAGGACTTTTCGAACAACCTAATATGTGTCATTCACTTATTTCAGCTATCGATATGTAAATCCCATCATTTGTGCAAACCATCTTCAGTTGTTCGCCATACCGTTGTTCCTTTTGATTTATTTATTTTTTTTGTTTTGGTTTTGTTGTTGTTGTTTTAACGTCGCTCCCCGTTGGCGACTTACATGCCCCTCAGTCATGCCAATGAACTGAACCTGTAATACCCCTCTAGGCCGACAGCGCTCTATTTTTGCTTTTTATTGAGCTCCATCTGTGTGCACGTCTATGTCTGTTATTTAGATTTGACGAGTTCTCACAACTGCTGATGCACAAGTACGAAATGGCACAAGTAGTCACTGCTGCCCCTCATGGTACTACATTGATGGTACGCGGGCCAGTGTTGGACGGAAAACGAACGGAGCGTTATGCGAAGGATAAGGGTGATAAACATAAGTTGAGCAGAAAAGTTGATCCATTTTTATTTCCGTAAGATGATTTAATAATGTTATCTAGGCGGCAAAAGGTGACCTGGTCTACTTGGACTCCTCACCTGACTACTGTTCGGTCGACACTCAAGGGTCGTCATTGTGGAAATAATTGTGACGAGATTTGTTGCGGTCGAGGTTAGCCATTGCTATTTTATGCTTCACTGGTTTTTCCCTCAGCAACTGCGTATGCTACGCTGACTCCAAATGCTTTCACCTGTAGGTCTATGGTGCTACCTAGTAAGTCCAAAACGTACCAGTTGGGTGTCTCATATAGCAGCGGGATTCTTAGTTAGCGCTTGAACCGACTGATAATCCCAGCACTCGTTGTGTACCTCCCGCCCCCACCACTTAGGGAAGGTGGCACGATAAGTGTGGGCAAGACGTGTAGAGCCCCCAGCAGAATCTGAAACTCGAACGCCTTTCAGCAGGAAAGCTGTGTTACGCCAGCGGGAAAAGTGCCCTCAGTTAGCGCACTATCAGAGTTGCAATATAGCCGATCGGATGCCCTGCGCCCGCCCGCCCACAAATGTCCGAGTGATGCTAGTGCTCCATATGCAAGTGAAATGTAAAGTGAAAGGTTTGATATGAAGCGGCTGCGGTGCATGGATATATGAGTACATGTGTGCAGCCCTACCTACCGTAGCGATTATTGGCCCGATGCTATGGGGATCTCGTCCGAAACTGATTTCTGAGTGGTGTAGAACAGAGGCTCTTTTGCAGGTTCTCAACCGTTTCACTTCGTTTCTTCGCCATTTCCCCTCTCTATACCACTCCTGATACCATTTTAGCTCGAATACCAAAAAATTATGTCTTATGCCTTTTTTCAGGCTGGCACACAGTAAGAGAAGTGGTGGATGAGCCCTGCCAATGTCGATTTATTTGGTGTTGTGATGTCAAATGTAAAACTTGTAAGAAGATAGTTGATCGTAACTTTTGTCGTTGAATATTCTCTTCAGTTTTTCGTACTCTACTATTTTCTGGATTGTGCCACTATTTCGTGCATTTGGCCACGGTTTTCCATGCACGTTCGCACATCGCGATCC